TTTCAGCCAGCTAAATTCACCTTGACAAAGCAGAACAAGGATATCTTCCTCTCGACGTTGAAGAACATAAAAGTACCAGATGGATATTCTAGCAACATCTCAAGGTGTATCGATCTGCAGGCTCGAAAGGTTACTGGGTTGAAAAGTCATGACTCTCATGTTCTTATGCAACAGTTACTTCCATTGGCCTTGAAAAACACACTTCCTTCTGATGTATCGGTGGTTTTGGTAGAATTATGTTCATTTTTCAAGAAGTTGTGTGCGAAGGTCTTGGTAGCGGAAGAGCTTGATCAGCTGCAAAATAAAATTATTCTTACACTTTGTCACTTGGAGATGATATTTCCTCCATCATTCTTTACTGTTATGGTTCACTTGACTGTCCACCTTGTTCGAGAAGCAAAGGTTGCTGGCCCAGTTCACTATCGATGGATGTACCCTATAGAGAGGTACTAGATTATCTTTTATTCCCGCCTCTTTAAATTTCACATTGTTCTTTCATTTACTCGTAATTATTAATGCAATTTTAACTTACAGGTACTTGGGAAAATTAAAATCATATGTTAGGAATAAGGCATGGCCTGAGGGGTCAATAGCAGAAGGTTATTCCGGAGATGAGGTCCTAACTTTCTGTTCGAGGTACTTTGATGACATGGAGACATCTTTTAACCGCCCGCGTCGCGTAGATGATTCTCCTCCCGGTCCTTCCACGTCAACTTTATTTCCTCCTGTTGGGAAACCAGTTGGAGGATATGAATTCTTCAGACTCACTCCTACAGAGAAACTCCAGGCACACAGACACGTTTTGATAAATTGCAGCCAAGTTGAACCCTTCATGCAGTAAGTATATATATCATATAAGCTCACTAGCTTTTACACTTTATATTTGTTTCTTATTGACTCTTCTAACAAATTACACTTTACTATAGTGAGTTTAGGAGTTATCTCAGGCGTCAGCTACGGGGCCGTGCGCGTTCTGCTGACATTGATAAAAGAGTCCACAAAGAGTTTCCCAGTTGGTTTACACGTCGAATACGTAATGACAACAGCCCATACACAGATGAATTCAGAGCTCTTTCTCTCGGTCCGTTAGACCATGCACGGAGGTTTACCGCGTACAATGTCAACGGCTTCAAGTTCTGTACGGTTGCACGTGATCAGGGATTGCTCACACAAAACTCTGGAGTTTGCGGGACATTCGGAACGAGATGTTATGCTAGCAGTAGTGATGGCGATATGCGCTTTGGAGGCGTCACTTACTATGGAAAGCTAATTGACATTATTGAGTTGACTTACCAGCTTTTCACCGTGACACTGTTCAAATGCTCCTGGGCAAATACGACAACTTCACGGGGACTCGCTACTGACCATTTGGGCATCACCTCAGTCAATTTCTCAAGACTTATTCATACGGGGGCATCTGAAGATGATGAGCCATATATCCTTGCTTCTGAGGCACACCAAATTTACTATGTCGAGGACGAGAAACATAAAGACTGGAATATGGTCGTTCACCTCAAGCCACGGGATCTTTACGATATGGGTGATGGTGACATTATTTACGACAGTGAACCCTTCCAACCCTCGAATTTTGAAGACTTCTTTCCTCAAGGAGATGATAATTTGCCACTTATCAGGTACACGTCTTTTCTTAAATTATTTAAATAATTAACTACTAATTACTAATTTTTTCCAAATACAACATAAATTTAACAAATTTTTTTAAAATATGTCCTTTCAGGCCGGATGATGATGGAGAGTAGCAGCATCCAAAATAAATTATTTAACAAATTTTTCGTCCATAAATACATATGTATAAATTAAAATTCGTAAAATTTTTTTAAAAATAAAAAAATTGTAATTTGTAGCGGTTAATAACCGCTACAAATTACAATATCGTGAAAAAATTTGTAGCGGTTATGAACCGCTACAAAATACATACCTGTAAATTAAAATTCGTTCAGATTTTAAAAATAAAAATACTAACTTTCTAGCGGTTAATAACCGCTACATATGTAACCGCTACTAATTACTAGCGCTTTTATATACGCTAGAAAATGAATAACAGCTACAAAATGTTATAAAACGCTACAAAAACACCGCTACAAATGTGTCGCTGATCTCTATAAATACCATATCTTCTCTACATTCATTTACTCCATCTCTTTTCCTTCCTCTCCTATTCTTCTTCATAATTCTCTCTTTTTTTCTTACTATCTCATATTGTGATTTTTTTCTCTTTACTCTATGGTAAGTGAATTTTATTTTATAATTCATTGTATCTTTTATTTGTTTTTATTTAAAATTTACTAACATATTTATTTCTCCTTTCCTTTCAGATTTTTCTTCTCCACATTTGTCATGCCCTCCTCAACTGATTCAAATACTCATCAACTTAATACTATAGGTTCAATATTCCAAAATATATCATCTTCAATTCAACTATCTTATTAAATATTCAATTAAATTATCTTGTTAGATTAAATTCACTTCTTTTAACACATTCATAATTTAATTACATATTTTTTATTACAAAATTTGAATATATAAAATGTAACATATAACTAATTATACAAATTAACAAAAATTCTTCAAAATAATTTATTTTATGGTTTTTAAAATTATAATATGAAAAACCATAAATTTTTTTTTCTGGCACGGTAAACATTTCTAGCGGTTCAGAACCGCTAGAAATATTTCGTCAAATTTAAATTTCGCGCCAAACTTTCTAGCGGTTAAGAACCGCTAGAAAATTTCCCGCCATTCTAAAATTCAATTGGTGTGAAAATTTAATTTCCCAAACATTTCTAGCGGTTCTATAACCGCTAGAAACGTTTCCCCGGAAAAATTTCTAGCGGTTTTGTAACCGCTAGTAATGTGTCTCCTTCAGATAATTTCTAGCGGTTCGTAACCGCTAGAAATGTTCTATCGTTTTGACCATGATGTGTAGCGGTTGAGATAACCGCTAGAAATTTTTTCTAACACCTGTTTTTCTAGCGGTTTCGTTAACCGCTACAAATGTTATTTGTAGCGGTTAAAACCGCTAGAAATGTAACACCATAACCGCTAGAATTAAATATTTTTTTGTAGTGTTAGTCATTATATAAATATATATATCAGGGAATTTAGTAATAGTTAAATCCCAAAACAAATACTGAGAGATGAGTTATAATTTTTTTTTTTTGCCAGCAAGAGATAAGTTATAAATGTTGATTCAAATAACTGCTGTCAATTGCAAATAAGACATTTAAATCTTATATATCATCTGTAATTAATACTTTCATATATGCAAATATTTGCGACTCATGTTTTGGCAAATTTTTTGAGCCATAAATTAATTTTTAAGATGTGAGTGTCATTCCCCTTATTAATTGTAATTATATATAAATTAAAAATTATGAAGGTCTAGGATGTAATTAATTAGGATTGTACATATTTGGTGGCATGTAATAATGACCTCATTGATCAAATCACCAGCCGGGTCAATGCCACACATCATCATTACGTACCTTATTAATTTCAAATGTAATTAATAGATTTAATCATTCCTAAATATTTGTTATTTGGTATAAAGAAATTCACCAGCACTACCAAAACCAGGAAAAAACATCCAGTGATGCAAAATTCTGACCTTTTTCTTATGAATTTGCACAAAAAATGTCATTCTTGGCAGCCCCTTCAGAAGGATTTGGTGATTTTTGCCACCAATGGGTGAATTAGCAATACAGAAGCAGTTTTTGCTGTGAAGCGTGAAGTGGCCAGAAACCACCACTATTACTGGCGGTTTTAGCCGCAAATGATATTTCTTTTTATTGAATTCCCCCTCACGTATTTAGTTAAACTAAAACATAAAATCAATTATCCAAAATTTATTTTTTTCAGAGGAGAAAGCACTCGATAAGCTTTTAAGAAGGATAGGCATTCAAATGTTTAATCATCTTCATTTGTTTTGAAAAGATCAATTCCCCCTCACAGTATTCACAAATGCTAAATACTTATCCTGATTCGGTACGAAATGATTAATTAATATAAACATCATTAATTAAATCAATCACATGCTTAAGCACAGTTTCCATGTACAAGCTACCTAAATAAAGCTTACAAGGTGGCTTAGGTTATTGTCTTGTTTGGATGAAAGGAAAGACAAAAGATAATGGAGAGTGAAAGAGTCACTTCACTTAATTGTGCATCCTAGTGGACGAGATTAGAGTGCAGGATTATAGATTAGATAGTGTTGAATTGAGAGGAATCAACAGCCTATCATTCTTTAAGCAGAAAATTAATTAATGTTTAAATAAATGGTGGGATGGGAGGCTCATGAAAGCCCAACGGAAAAAAATAACAATGATCATAACTTAGACCACCCAATCACATCATTGGATTGTGATACTTCAATTAGACTCGATGGGGCCAACAAAATGCAGACTTTTTTAAAACAAGAAGTATAGATTCCATCATGTAGAAAGCATGAAGATGTAATCAAATATATGGCATGATTAGTACTACTATATATATTGTCAAATCACATGCGCATCCGTGAACCAACGAATCAATCTTTTCAACTTTTTTTTTTATTACATATTAACCTTTCTTTGCATTTTACTAGAAATAAAAAATAAAGATAATTTTTATTACAAAGTAAATAATAATATTAATAATAAAGAAATAGCAAACACTGAAAAAGAAATTATCAATGCCATTCTAAATATAAGGGCTCAACTTGGGGGAATTAAAATTTATCTAAGTTTAAATTGATTTCTTTTCCTAAGAAAACTAATGTGGGGTATGAACTATAAAGCGGATCAGTACGGACTTGAATCTCTTAAAAGGAAAATTACAAGCTGAGTAAGCTCAACCACTAAGATGGGGTGGTCGGTTTTTTCACCGTGTCCCACAAGATCGTGGACACGACCAGTGACAAAAGAAGCTCGTTTCCTTTTTTATCAGTGGTGGCGGAGGATGTGCTGAGATTGGGACTTCCTCTTATCTGAACATGATAAAAGTATGTCACATGCTTAACACTGATCTCTACTATTTCCAGGATGTCCTGAGCATCCACAAACAAAATTAACTGATTACTTCGGTAGGTAATGACACGATCTAGTCACTATTACAGGTAATTGGTATGGGACTATTGATTACATTTGTGTCCCAACGACGTCCCCCAAATTTTATTCCTTTTTCTCTACACACGACTAGTTTCAAACTATGCAAGAGATGATCATATAATTATATACAAGAGCTCCTATCATCCTGGCTGTAGCCTACTATAGGCATCAAAGACTTGGATCCAGCATCGAATTACGAAAGCTTATGTATTTCCCTCACCTTTTGGACAGCTTGCTGATCACAAAATGATACAAGTACTGGGATTGTCTTCCATGCTTTGGACAGGGTAGCTGGCCATGGGGGAATGATATGCCATGTGGGGATGATTTGCCATGTGGGTATTATATGCCATTTGGGGATTATATGCCATCAGTGGGTAATATGGCCTATTATAACCACCCCCCCCTAAATATGCAGGGTCTGGGACTATGACTGGTGGTGGAAGTGGTGCTGGGGCTGGGGCCGCCTCTTTCTTTTTCTCCTCTTCTTTCTTTCCGTCCTCCTTCTTCTCCTCTTCTTTCTTTCCGTCCTCCTTCTTCTCATCTTTCTTTCCTTCCTCCTTCTTGTCCTCTTCTTTCTTTCCCTCCTCCTTCTTTGGCTCTTCTTTCTTTTCTCCCTCCTTCTTGGGCTCTTCTTTCTTAGGCTCCTCTTTCTTCTCAGGCTCCTTAACTGGTCCTACTAAGACTAGATCTGTTGACCAGTATTTGCGAAGTTTGCTTACCACAGAGATCGGATCAACTGTTCCCATTACAGTCAACTTCTTCTGCTTCATGTCCATAGAGATGAAATCTATCCCTGCAAGCAGATAGCAATTGCTTTTGCTTAAAGGAACTGGGACAAAAGATCAACAGCTTCAACTAATGAAGAGTCCCAATTCAATCATAACAAACAAAAGATTTTGTTTCTGAGCGAGATTGAGGGTGATAAGTGGTACGAGGTTTGCTACTGTGGTCAAGGCCAACAGAGTATAAATACATAGCCTCTGACTCTCTAGTAGTTTGTTTCATTACAACTTCCTGAGTTTTGATATGCATTATTTTTCATGCTTGTATCTTATATTTTATTTAATACTCCTCCGGTCCTTAATATAGAACCTAATTGTTAAGTTAGTTTTAGTCCTAAATATAAAACCTATTTCTCATATTTATCAATTTTTTCTAAATTAACCCTATGAATATTCCCTCAACTATAATCAAGTAGAAGAGGAAGAAGAGGTATTAAGAAAGATGATTATGGTATTTTAGGAAAAACGTGTCACATTTCTTATAATTAACTGATTTACATAATTTTCTTAATCTAATCAAATTAGTTAAATGGGTCTTATATTAAGGATTGGAGGAGTACTTCATCTGTAAGGCCCAACATTTGGTTTCTTTACTACATATTGTGCAAGCAAAATGTAATTCTGCAGACAGACACATGATCGTTACTCATGTCAGGCATAGACTATACATAGATGTAGCAAAGATGTATTCGCTTTCCCTTCCCCCACCACAAATCCCTTCACAAATAAGAAACCTCATTTTAAACTTTTTTTTTATAAAAATAATACATCCCATTGTAGACTTGTTGACAGGCTAACGGCCAACTAATATCTTAATGACCTCAAGTAAAATTAAGATTTAGTATTTTTAGCCAACCAAAAAAAAAAAAAAGAGATTTGATGCATCTCTTTCACCTACCACAGCCCAGAAATTAAACAATAATATTTAAACTAGGAAAAGATTTTAATTAGTTGAAAGAGCATATGACGATTCAAAAATTCAGAATCAAAATAACCAGAACACGCATCTAATACTTACGAATTTGAAGATTAAGACTAATTTGGTCATTTTTTGGCATTCCAAACGCGAACATACAGAAAGCTAACAAGAGTACATTAATCCTCAAAAAATGGGTGTAAATAAGCAGTCTGGCATCTAAACGCACCCACAAAAACCTGAGAGTACTGCATAGTCCCTCCAACGTAAAGAACTGAAGAAGGCACAATACTGTATAATACAACGTGTTCGTACCTGTAAGTGCTGAGACCGTTTTCAGAGCCTTCTGCTTGGCCCTGTCATCGTCCAAATCTAACTTGATCACGGCAAACTTCTGTAAGAATAAATCAGAAAGTGGTTCCGCTTAGATTCAAATAATCCTTAGATAAATACCATAACATAACACGAAAGCAAATATTTTTCTTCCAACCAGAAGCTCTGTTGCTTCGCATAATAGAAGCGGCGGAAGAAAGACATTTAATCCTGATTTAGGAGATAGCAAGATTCGGTCCACATATATTCATCTCAGATCCTTTACGAGAGAGACGAAGTGAGAAGAGTAAAGGTCGAGGAGAATCAGAAGCGAACAAAAAATGACGGAGAAAGGATTCATCGGTTTTCGACGAAAAAAAAGAAAAGAAAAGGAAAAGCCAAAAGAATCGAAACCGGAAGTGGGAATCGTACCTTCATTCTAATCAAGCAGGAATCTGGAGATTAAAAGCAGAGAGAATAGAGAATAGAATAGGCGAGCCTTGCGAGAACGGGGAAATGGGGGTGGCTCTGAGAGAGAAGGCCGACGCCAACAAATCAAATCAAGCTTTTATGGAGAGAAGGGTGAAAAAATAAGTTGGACACACATGGCATTAAGGAATCCGAATCGAGAGTCGAAAGTAACAATGTATATTAGGAGAGAGGGAGAGAAAAAGTTACAGAGAGAGGGAGAGAGAGTGAGTGAGTGTGTAAATTGTACGCAAATATATTGAAGTGTTTGTAGGAGATGAAGAAGAATCCAGGACCAGGAGTGATGCATTGCATGACCCTCTAACCACAAGAGAAGGCCACGCGTACTAGGGAGCGCGTCACGATCGTTAAAAGGCTTTTTTCCTGCAGGATGACTCACGCCTCATGCGAGATCAGCTAATCCTCCGAGCAACTTTTTCCCGCATGGGGTTTGATTTTATATACATGGGGTTTGATTTTATATTCAACCACTATTTTGTGTTTATGTAAAATAATTTAATACTATTTTTTTATTTTTATCTTTAATTAATTATTTTTTTTATATATGTGAAAAAAATATATATCATATTTATTTAATATTCCTTCTGGTTCAAAATATAAATTAAACTTTATCTATTTATATTTATTAAGAAATTAGTTAAAATTAGTTTAAAATAATAAACATGCAAGGCACGTATTTTTTTTCTTTTCAAATATATCCTTATTAATGAGAATAATAAATAAAAGATGCAATAAATGAATCAAAGAAAAAAGAGAATATATGTGAGGTAAAATTAGAAAAAAAAACTCATTAAATACTTAGACAAAAATGAATGTTATCTTATTAAAAAATCAAACCCCTCTAACAAAATTTAGCTTATATTTTGAACCGAAGAAAGTATTGTTAACTAATTTGAAACTTTATTTTAATTTACTTGATTTTATTAGTTATTATTTATATAAAATCGGAGAGAATACAATTTAAAAATATTAAAAAAATTATAATTAAGATTGTGCGAGGATATCCTTTTAAATATGGGTTGAATATTTAAAATGAACATTTTATTTAACGGAAACTTGGATTTAATTTTAAGATAAAATTAATAAATGATTGATAAATAGGAATTAATTAAAAAGAAAATCAAGTTTTGTGTGCCACCAAACAGACGGTGGAAGGCCAAGCTAGGTGGGCCCTGTAGGCGGTGCCATCCTGGCAGGCAGTACGATCAATCAAATCTATGATTCATTCATAAAGTTGCTGTATTATTATTCCATTATTCCCAGAAAGTCATGCTACCATTCATTGTTGCTGCGGCTGAAATTAGCAAGGGAATGACCTCAAATTTATTCCTCAAATTTATTGAGTTAGTTATACAATATTAATTACTGTGAGTTTTATTTCACTTATATATTTATTTATTTTAATAAAAATAATAGAGCACACAATTAAACAAGGAAGTAATATAATTTGTTTGTGTTAGGCGGGCCAGCTCCTTCTTTACCCACCTCATGGGTTCTAGAAAGATCTCAGAATTGGTGAAGGACTCAAATTCCAAAACAAATTTTGATTGTGGAGGCCCAAGCCAAAAGGACAGTTGGGGAGGGACGCGCGAGTAGGGAGAGACAAGGGGGCGCGTGGGGAAAAGCGGGCAGGAGGGAAGGTGGGTCGTGGTGGGGCCCAAGAGTCAATAAACAGGGTCGGGTTTTCACGATTCTGACGGCACGAAGTATAAGAACTATGCTATAGGCGCCACCGTGGAACATAGAATGGCGCCACCCCTATCCGCATGCGCGCCGGCGCAGCCCTCTCCTTGCTGGATCCGATCTCATCTTTCTGACTTAACCCATTCGTCAAATCTGTTTGTTTTCTATCAATTATCATTTAATCTATACTACACATCACGTGTATCCCTTCATTAATTCATGATTAATAGTAAAGCACTTTAAAAACAACCAGAAATATATATACACACACATCGGAGAAATTGCCAGAAATAACAATACCTGGGCGACTTGCGAACCCGGCACTGAAAACGGAAGAGGGGAGAACAAAAAGATAGGCATTATGAATGAACGTGAATGAGAATTTGGTCACGTTGCGTATCTACATTCAGAATCTTCATTCCATTCCACTCGCATCATCATCATCTTGCGTACGAACACACATGCAAAATGATGCGTCGTATGACTCTTTAAGGCTTATCTTCTTTACCGATGTTCCCATCAACTCCATACATATCCTAATCCTATACATACAATTCATGAAGATTCTAATCAAAATCATGTTATTACTTCTTACGTTTTTTTTTTTTGCCCAACAAAACTGAAGATCATCTGGGTGCACCTCAAAAACAAATGCACACTGATTGACTTTTATGTTCATTTGTTGGATGTCCGAAAAGAATGACATCATATCTATGGCTTTACAAATAGATAATTAATTAAATAATACCATCTTTTTTTTTTTTTTGAGTGAGAAGTAATACTATCTTTATCCGTCATTACTCTGTCTTTTCTGTCTCCAAATGATGATCAAAACGGAATTTAAAAATATTTGCTTGGGGGCGGGGGGTCGCTAAACTTTGTCAAGACTACTTTGTAAAAGCTATGATTTTGAAGCTTGCAATTCAAAGAATCCATTCATTAATAATTTTGTTTGATCCGTCTCTGGTCAAGGAAAGTAGCTGCCTGGGGGTGTAGTAGCCGACCTCCGTTTGATATGGCACAATAATAATCGTATGTCATCTTTTGTTCTTTTAGTTTAGACTGAAGTAAGGCTCCGTAAATGAAAGTTTAATATTCACACACACACACGCATATATCAACATGGATGGATGCATCTAGCAAAATTCGAATTTGGGCTTTAAACTAATGGGCCCGAATTTGGGCTTACCTAATATCAATTTCAGCATTATATGGAATAGTAAGCAGCGTTGTATGCAAGGAAAAATAGTAAGCAGTGGGTGATCTCCAAGATCCATCGAGTCTAAGCATAACCCATTGGGTTAGTTCAGTCGTATGTTTGATGAATTATTTTTTTCTTTTGGCGACACAAATTTTAGGGAGCAGTTGGCTCACCCGCGATCCAAAGGAAGGAAAACTAACCTTTAATCCCAACCCTTCCCGGTGCAGTAGTTTAAATTGAGATAGGAAAAGCCACGTGAGAAATCACCACATATTACGAGTTGAGGCCTTAGTTTAGAATATGCCTCTCCCAGCGTCTTGACTAACTCCAGCATCAAACCCCTCCATGTTGTGAAAAAGTCCAACCTCTTTGCAAGCTAAACTCAAAGACAAGGGGTCGTATGTTTGATGAATCAGAGTCAATGTTTACATGACAGGGATTTATGGCTGTGGGCGTAGGATCTTTAGATTTTGTTATGTCCATCGATCTTCTCAGATATACGCGCCGCAACAAGGAAGAATGTCGGGGGTTCGTATTGTATATATGCGTTTGTGCGTGAATAAGAAGGTGATTGTGTTGTGCCCGTCACATGATCACGATTGGGCTTTTGTGCCGTTCAAGGGTGAGACTGAGGCCTTAATAATTAAGAGTTTGCCGGGAAGATCAATAGAGCTTTGCTGGGAATGATGTCCCAACAACCGACGACGTGTAGGGTCGTACACCGGAGGCCACACATATAGCCACGAACTGTGTAACTTTTACCACCCAAAAACAGTAAGAATGGTTTGCTGGGTACAACAGTGTACGTTGAAGTCAAAGTAAAATAGAAGCAGCATAAAGCCCTCGCGCACGCACTTACCCGCAGCAGCAGAAAAAACAAGAGGGATTGAAAGTGAGATTTACATATGTCTTTAGCAATTGGGGTGTGCTGATTTAACACATACAAGTGAATATAATAGCCTTTAGGATTTCTAGAATGGTCAGTGTGATTAGGTTCTGATCGAGCCTTCTGCTTCTGAAGTTCTGATCTTTTAGGTCTGAGGAACACGAGACCTGTGTATTATCACTGGGGACCAACCAATTATCAGCACTGTTACTATTACCTTTTTTTTGCCTGCATCCTCTTTTCCTGGTCCGACCGTAACCATAGGTAGCTATGAGATCGCGACTTCTCACCACAATTGCCATCAGCTTTATCATGATTCATGCCACCACAATCAAACCTACCAGTTCCTTTTCCTAAACAATCCACCCACTTCATTTTTGCTTTCAATCTACCCCAGAGCATTCCCTGTATACTCTTTTCCCAGTCAAAATTACTGCTTGTAATTGTCAACATTATAACATCACTTCATAATTTCTGACATCGCTACGTTCCTTATCGTCTTCTTCCAACTCTCAGTACTGTAAAATTATAATAATCTTATCTTTTTTAAGCCGTAAGGAATTTTTAGAATTATATCCTTCACAAATTATTTCATGTTGTTTGACATTTTGCTCTCCAACACTCGTCGAGACAATATATTACTCTTTTTTTGACCTTGAGACAATGTATTACGTAAACTTTGTTACGTTAGGCTTTTTTTTCCCCTACCAAAATTCTCTCCTTGGTGAGAGCCACCATTCTTCATTTAGGATTGTGTTTATGAGTGTGTTTGGGATAGCAGTGGCAGAAGTAACTTTTTTCTAATATGATTTTTATCAAGTTT